ATAAGCTATGCGATAGAAAGATTAATGCGCAAAAGAATAAAAAGACACGGTCAATTAACATCGATATTGACCTTGTCTTTTTATTCTTTTGCGCATTAATCTTTCTATCGCATAGCTTATAATACGTGATAGTGTTATCATCATATATATACATATGCACTTCTTTCATTGTATTCAGAATGGTTATTGCTGGCATTCTCTTCTTCTTAATTCTTTCATGCTTTCATTCTCTTCTTCTTTCGTGTTTCCTTCTTCATTATTGAAATAAAATTGAACTCACGTTCAACAAAAACACAAAACTTACATTGGCGACGAGAGTGTTCCTCTCTTATTCATTCGTTGATCATCTTCAACAATCGAATTTTTCTTCGTATTCATTCTTCAATTATCTTTGTGATTTTGGCAATCATTGTTCATGTCTAAATCCACGTCAATGTCAACAGTTCAACCACCAACAGTTTCTTCAATTCCTGCACTTCATGCTTTCGATTCTCGCACAAGTTCCTGGCAATCTTATCGAGATCGAATTAGTTTTTATTTTCAAGCAAATCGTATTCACACGGATGAAGATAAAAAAGCACTTTTTCTTTGGTCTGTTGGTGATACAACATACAATTTACTAGAATCATTGATCTCACCTCGATCATTAACTGATGAAGATACAATGTTCACCGATTTAATCAAGTTGTTAGATGCTCATTATGATGCAACAAAGAACATTATGACGTCCACATATGATTTCTACTCATGCTATCAAAAATCAGGACAAACATTCACTGAATGGAAAGCTGAATTATGTGAAAAACTACGCCATTGTGGATTTACTACATCTGCTTTAAAAGATAAACCACAAGACCGTGCACTTCGAGATATGTATGTTATTGGAATTAAAAGTCAAAAAATTCGACAAGCATTACTCAAGGAACAAGATCCTGACTTAGAAACAACAGAAAAAATTATCCAATTAGCTGAACGCTTAGAAGAAGATGTTCGCCACTTTGGTAATCCAATTAAACATGATGATTATGCAGTGGCAAAGCTACACAATTCTCAACCCAAACGAGAAAAACAACCACAAAATAAATCATTTGTAAAAAATGAATATAAACCATGTGAAACATGTGGTTCAACTAGACATCTTCGATCAAAATGCCGATATCGTGAGTTTATTTGTAACTTTTGCAAAAAAACCGGTCATTTAGAAAAAGTATGTCGACAAAAGAAAAATGAAAAACTTTCTACAAAACATATTGCAACAATTTATAAATTGAACTGTTCCAATCAAACAAATCAATCCATTAAACATTCATCAACAATTCCATTAAAAGTCAACGGTTATGATTTTACCTTTGAACTTGATACCGGAACATTTAATACAATTATTAGTATGGAGGATTGGTACAAATTAGGATCACCGACCATTCATCCATCAAAATTGAAATTAAAATGTTACAGTGGTAATGCTCTTAAAATTAAAGGTGAATGTAATGTTAAAGTACAATACCAAAACCAAAGTTATAATTTATCTATGATTATTATTTATGGTGCAAGTCCACCTCTTCTTGGTCTTCAATGGATTAACATAATGCAACTCGACTTAAATCAACTCATTCATGCACAACATTCTGTTCAACATTCAATTCACAAGATTTATACCTCCTCAAAACTTCAAACAACCTTGCAAAAACACAAAAATGTATTACGAAGTTATCGCTGGACTCCACATACCACAACTGGTACTTATCCGGCAAACATGTTGTTACAACATCAAATCAGAACTGAATTAGACATAATGAAACCTCATGAATCAATTAAACCACGACAACAAACAAAATATGCTGTTGGACAGTTAGTTTGGACATTGAAGCATCAACTTAACAAACGACCCCAATGGCAACAGGCAATCATTACGAAAAATATCAGTTCAATGATTTATGAAATTCAATTACGTGATGGACAACGTTATAAACGTCATCAAAATCAACTTCGTCCTCGTTATTCTTCAAATACTCAATCATCTGAAATAGGCAGTCTACCTGATGATTTATTAAATACTAAATCGCAATCAAAGACTACTACGTTTTCACATTCATCATCACCGAGGTATCGTCCTCGTCGAAATCGAAAACCACCTGATCGTTACACACCTTAGTAACTATCTTAAGGGGGAAGATGTTAAGGAAATATTCTTCCTTATGAACTATATATGTTTCTTCTTGC